TATATATATATATATATATATACTGACATATATTTTATTTTATTTTATTTCAGATGATCATAAAAATAAAATAAAATATTTAATCTCTACTCATTATATGTTCACATAAGTTAATAAGATATCAATTAATTGATAATTTGTTCACAAATTTATGCGGCCTAAAAATTAAATAGCACATAATATATAATCGATATTCATATGTACGCCCATATTCCAATTTTTTCCTCACTTGGGCCAGATATATCACTTGATAATTGTAACACATTAAATAATTTTATGATCTCAATATTCATAATCTTAATGAATTTACATCTATAGACAATGTGGCTTATAATTAATATCAATATATGATCAAAGCAATTTCATTAAATTGTAACACACCCCATCAATAATCATGATATCATTATGCTTAGCGATATAGATCAAAGGCAAATGTTTGGCATAACAATTTATGTATTATCCTGTCTCAAAAGAGTTATCATTACTTTTTCAAGCCTTTATGCATAGGCACAATTAATCAATAAAGGAGTAACAGCTTTACTCTAGTGTTATCGACAAATAAAATAATAATAATATTTTAGTTTAATTAGAAAATACATTCATAATAATTGAACATAAAAAAAAAAAAAACTTATATTATATATTATTACAATAAACCACACACATATAAGCTACATGATGATGAAGCATTTTAGATGGTAAACTTTTAGTGAGCATATACACGCTCATATAATTTGTATTGATATGGCATAATGACTCTAAAATCTTTCTTTAATAACAAAAAGTCTAATATTAATATGCTTCAATTTTGAAAATCTCATGATGCTTTTGGATACAATTAAATAGTTTTATCATCATAATTTATATTTATTGATCTCTCAGCATCATAGATACTATGCAACTTTCTGATAACATTTTACCGCCAAGTTCTTTGATTTTATGCTTCAAAATAAGCTATAAATTTTGCTTTAATGATGGAAGAAGCTACAAGTGATTGCTTAATGCCTTTTCATGATAGCTTCTCTAGTTCATATGAAAACATAGCATGAAAGGGATCTTCTGCTATCTAGTTTACAAATAAATTCAGTGCCGGAATATCCCATAGTCTATAAATGAAGGGATCCCAACATGTGAGATTAAATTTTTTTATCCTTTATAGATTCCAAATAATCCATTTTATTGTTGTCCACTGATCTATTTGAGTTATATATTTGTCAAGCATTCCAATATGTAAATAATATTTGGACATGCATAGACTTGAGCTTACATTAGATTCCCTAATTTCGATGCACTTGGGATTATTTTCATAGATTTCTTTTCAATTTCATATCTTGGACATTTAAACAAACTGAAACAATTATCTTTAGCAATAGTTGTATCTTCTAGTGCACAATATCTTATGTCATATTTAATATGTGTCATTTGTGATAAGCCAAGTATATCACAAGTGTGATCTCATTAAACTTATATACATAACACAAAATACGTATTCATATGACTTTTTTTTTCAAAGTTATTTGGTAGAAATTTTTTAGCTTCATGCAATAGCCTCATATCACTGAATATTAACATAACATCATCAACTTATGTTACTAAGGAATAAATTTTCTCTTGTCAACATTGATATTTTTTTTTGATTAATCATATTTTCATAAAACAAAAAGAGATAATGATTATTCAAAATCTCTATACGATTGGTGAGATATTTGCTTTAAATCATAGTTGAACTTTTTAATTGCATAGTAGGTATTTTGAACCTTGGGATTGAAATTTTTCTTCTTGTACTATGTATATTGTTTCTTTAAAGTATCCATTGAGAAAAACGATAATTATTTCCATCCAATATAGCTTTAAATTATAATGTATCAAAATCCCAAAATTGTTCTAAAGAAGTTTTTTAATGAAATAGTAGAGAAAGTGTCTTATACTCTTTATTTCTGGGTGAAATCCTTGAAAAGCCATTAACAATAAATCAATTCCTCTGCTTTAGGCAATTTGACTATATCACAAATATCATTGTATTTTATTGATTTCTTCTCATCTTCCATAGTTTTTTTCTATTTTTGGGAGTTAACATATTCTTTGACTTGACCACAAAAAATATGGGGTCATCTTCCAATTCCATATCAAACTTATGTGCTTGGAGATAAACATACATGATATATTGATTGAAATCATTGTTCTCCTCTTGAAGGACAATTCAAATTGAGGTTATTGAATAGGAGTTGGTTCTTCAGTATGAGTATGTGGTAACTTACGTGTTTTGATTAGTTGGATTTGGAACTTAAAACTATATTGGGCATAATTACTTGACATGTCATTAAATGGAGTGAATGTTTTAGATATCTCAATTTCATCGTTCCAAGTGACTGTGATATAGATGGGGATGTGATGTTATTAAAGATGGGGATGTTATTAATAGAATTTAAGTTGGATGGTTGAATTGGAGGAATGCATCAGGCCTATTGTGTGATAGAAAAGTACCTCTTAGACTTAAAGGAAAATCTTGTAAGATGATGGTGAATCCTGTATTGCTTTATGGTTCAAAATTTTGGTCTATAAAAGAGAAGCATAAAATCAAGTTAAGTGTTGCTGAGATTAGAATGCTTAGATGAATGAATGGCTTTACATTTAGAGACAAAATGCGAAATGAATATATCCATGAAAGTCTTGGAGTAGCTTCAGCAGTGGCAGACAAGATTAGAGAATCACTTTAGATGGTTTGGTCACATTAAACATTGACAATTTGATGACTCAGTTAGGAGATTAGATGTTTTAGATTTGATTTATTTTAAGAAAGGTAAAGGTAAACCTAAAAAGACTTGAGCATGTTGTATCAAAAATGATCTAAATTTATTAGAATTAAATGAAAATATGACCCTCAATAGGACACAATGGAGAAAAAGGATTCATGTAGCCAACTTAGTAGTATAAAGGCTTATTGTTGCAATATAATCACTTGTACATGTTCAACTACTATTGTAGTAGAAAAATTAGTAATTTTATTTTAAAAGATAAAATTCTTGAGTCTATCACTCATATTCAATAGCCTCAATAAATTTAGCATTATTTGTATTAAAAAAAGATTTGCTTGAGGAATCATAAAATAGAAACCCTCTATCTTTTTGAGTATCTAACAAAGTCGTAGCTTATATTTTGAAGTCCAATTTTTTTATTAGGCTTGGTTGATTAGCCTTAGTTGAACTTACCTAAATGTGATAATGCATAAATTTAGGCTTCGTTCTCATTCATAATTCAAATAAGTTTTTAACTATTGCTTTGCTTATAACTAGATTAAAGATATGAATTGTTGTCTTGGCTTATATCATTTTGGCTTTGAATAATTAACATAGTTTATTGAGGAACATTACCACATATTGTTAAATATTTTGTAAAAGGCACCGAGCATTAT